ACGGGCCCCTAGCCAGCTCCACGGGTCGCAGTCCAACGTCTGACTTGCACAAAGGGAAGAGACATTCGGGTCGTGGCCTCCTGCCCTGTACCTGCAGGGACCGGCTGCCCTGCTCGCTGCTCTCTGTGGGGAGCGCTGCCTTGCTGCCTGTCGTTCTCCAGCACCCGCCTTGCCTTTTGGCACGGCCACTGCTCCATCCTGCTGGGTCCTCAGCGCCAGCTCTTGCTGAACAGATGCCATCCTCGGACTTAGCGTGGGTTTTAGGGGTAAACTTGTGTCTGTCTGTCCCAGGTAGGTGCAAGTTGTGGGCTTCTTGGCAGGATGGTGCGAAGAGCTACGAACCGAAGGCCCAGCCCCTGACCTTCCTTTGAGAAAGTTAAGAGTGCGTGGAGCTACTCAAAGAAAGGCACAGCAGAGGAGAAAGTATTGAGAAGTGGTTTGGTGCTGGCTGTTTCAGAATGAATTGGTTTGACGTTAAGAATTTCTTTCCAGACTTCATTCTTTTTGCATCTTTTCTCAGCTCTCACTCTTTCACAACTTCCTGCTTTTTTCTTCTAGCCCTCTCACTTCTCTGAGCTTTTTCCTTCTGCAATAAGTGGCAGGGATCAAAATAAATCAGTCCGTGTCTGCAAGAATCCGGAGCACGTGGACATGCAACAATTCACTGAATATTCAGAAAGAAAGGTAGAGAATTAATCAGATCAGCAAGGCAACTATGAATCTAAAGGAAATATAACCATGATAAAATTCCTGGTGCTGGAGCAGCACGGAGTTTAATCATTGGAGATGGCAAAAACCTTGTGAATGTTTTGAGGCATTTTTATTCTTTCAGTCATGTCTTTTGAGATAAAAAGTAATAAGCTAATTAAAATGTACCCAAGCGTGGCTCTGAGTAATAAGGTGAGGGTATGGACATAAAATAAACAAAACCCAACAAACACCCAAACAAATATACGGGCAGTCCTTCTGTCTGGTGCGGGTTGGACGGTCGTGTTTCAGCTTTCAGAATCAGAGCTGCAAGGGATGAGGAAATTAAGCCCTGGTCAAACCAAGGCTCCAAAATTATTGTATCAGGCAGAAGGCAGCAAGTCCAGGGGAGGGATGTTTGAGAACATGCACGGCACACGCATTGCGATAAAAAAGGATGTGTCTTCTTGCCAGGAGGGGCTGGGTGCCACTTGTTTGGTTGTGCGTTCTGGTTTTGACTGCAGAAAGGAGTCTGAAAGGCATTTATTATTTAACTTGCTGATTTGGGAGAGGCGTGGAAGAAGCACTGTTACTGACCTCCAGGTGAGCCGCGGGCTGCAGCTCCTGGGCTGCGTTCAGTGCAGCTGGGCCCACGGAGATGACACTCAGGGCAGACCCGGACCTTTGTCAGAATGGTGGGGTGGTTCTGTGTGTTTGCTGCTGCTGCAGCTACAAATTTGGGATAAGGACGGGAAGGCAGGTGAGCGAAGGGCTTGGATGTGAGGAGGTAGCAGGGCTCTGTTTGATAGGCCTCGTCTTTGAATTCTGCTTCAAAAGTCTGGGGGAATGGTGGTGTGCGTCCATGACTTATTTATTTCTTCCTTCAGATTTCCAAGCAGGACTGTAGGTGTGCACCTCGCCCATAAATTAAACATCACAACGTAAACAAAGGGCTGCTCATAAATATCTGCACCTCAACCCGTCCTTATCAGAAGTCTTGGAGGGAAGGAGGTGGGCTCTGTACCATGAAGTGGAGACGTCCTCGCTCATCCTTCACCCAGAGAAGGTGCAAACAGGGCATTGTTAAGGTCCTAGCTCGTTTTGTTTTGTTTTGTTTTTCTGCTGGAATTACACCCTGCTTTTTCTTTCACCTGCGCTGTTGCCTCAAGCTTAATTCCAACCCACTGATTATTTTCTGGTGCAAAAAATCTTCTCCTTCAGCTGATGATGCTGACAACGCAGGGTAGCTCTCTGCCCTAGCCTTGTGCCCTCTGCAAATGGATGTTTTTGCTGTGCCCAAGCTTAGGCGAAGCTTGTGCTGCTGTGAAGCCTTGGGTGCTGCCACAATTTGTGTTTCTGGTGGGGCATAAGGCTGGGATGGCTCTGCAGAAACGCAAGGCCCACTGGACCCCCAGCAGGAATGCTGAGCTGAAACCCGGTGAACCTGAGGTGAGATGTGACGTGCCCTTCAGGAACAACTTAGTGTGGAAGCTGAGAAACCTGCCAGCTGAACTCCTAGACCTTCTCCTGGGCTGCGTGCAGAGGAGCAGAGGCTTTGCAGGAGAGTGGAGTGGGTGCAGACCACCCTCGTGTGGCACCCAGTGCCAGGGGGCACTGCCAGCAGCATGGCACCCCCCCGTGTGTGTGCCCAGCACTGCCTGCAGGGCTCCAACCTCCAGGGCAGACGTCAGAGGCAGAGAAGCAACCCTCGCTGCAGCAGCACAAGGACTCTGGAGGAGGCTGGGGGGAGCTTTTTCACACTCGACTCTCCTGCCACTGCAGGCTGGGTGCAGCCAGCAGCTCCATCGCCCTGGTGCTTCCTGCCCAGAAAGCGCTGTTTCCATTTCCTGCCGCAGTGGTGAGAAAAGCCTTGGTGTTGCTGCCTTCTCCCTCGCCCTGTCAACCCCCTCTCCCCAGTTGAGTCTGTTTTTTGACACGCAGCGTGCACAGAGGGGTACTCCCCATCCCACACACTGCTCACCGGGCGGGCAGCCCTCGGTAATCTCCTGCGTCTCATTCACAGAAGCGCTCGCTCTTGAAAAGAAATGTCTGGTGGTTAACGTGGTTCCAGTAAAATACCTAGTGAGTAGGTAGCTAATTTCCATAATACAGAGAAGCATCAAGAAAAGAAATCTCCTGGGCTTGGTGTGCAGCAGAGCAGTTGCCTCTCGCTGACAGCAGGCGTGTGCTGTGCTCAGGACTGGCTCAGGCTTGCTTGGTGCTAGCTTTCACCCTTGCCTACTTAGAGGCTACTGAATGCGGTTTAAACCACATGTGCTTGAACTGGTGTTGAACCTGTTAAGGAAAAAAAAAAAAAAAAAGGTGTTTTTTCCAGTGTGGGATGGGGCCGAGCGGCCGTACAGAGAACTGCTGTCACTGCTGTGCTCAGCGAGGGAGCTGCGCCTCGCCAGCCCTGCTCAGTGCTCTCCCTTGGAGAACTCTGCTCCAGCTCAACATCTGGTTTTCCAAACGCCTCTGCAACACTCCTTTTTTTTCTATTTTTTTCTCCCCCAAATGCTTCTCGAGCTCTGTTGGCTGACTTGCATCTGGAGGTCAAGTGCCTTGCCCCCGTGGGTCACGCAGCAAGCGAGCCCTTTGATCCTCGGCCCGACAGACGAGAGCACTCCGAGGCACTGCTGCTGCCGGGGCTCAGATCTGAGCTTCGGGCGTTGGAGGCAGGGCCCACGGTGGCTGAGAGCTCTGCTGGCTGCAGGCAGTGAAGGAGTAGCTGTTTGCTTCAGATCTGACCAGGTCCCAGGCCCGAGCGCAGGAAGGTTGCTCTATAAATGTCCTGTAGGTGTGAACCGCCTGCTTTATCGCTCTGTTCTCTCACCTCAGAGAAAAGTGAAATGCAGCGTTGCATTTCAGCTGCAATGGGCCCCGCACCCCGAGGGGCCTGCTGGCTTTGATGAGGTTTGTTGAATGCTCAGCTCCTGGGATTTGCAGCCCCAATTTGCAGTTAATAAACGTGTTTGGGCTCAAGCAGCAGGCGAGCACAGTAAGAGCTCAATCCCGGGGCCCTCAGGCAGCAGTGTGCAGCTTTCTGTCTGCTTTCTCCTGCAGTGCATGCACAGCCGCATGCAAGCTTGGCAGATGCAGTGGTATTTACCTCGGACGGGTTGGTTTTCTTCTCCTCCCCCAATGCCTCTGTCCGCTCTCTCGTGGAGGCCTCTAGAGCTGTGTTGGTGCAGGTGCCCTCCGTACCCAGCACATCCCAGCATCCCTGGAAGTCTTGTCGCCGTTACGAGGGCTGCATGAGGAGACAAAGCGCTGCCTGACCACCTGCCAGGAATATCTCAGTGCTTAACACCTCCTTTTGTGGGCAGGCAGAGTTGCATGAAGCCGAAGGTATTCCAGCCTTGCAGTTTCTCCCTTGCAGCCCTTTGCACCTTCCAGCAAGGGGAGCTGAGGACCTGCTCCCTTCTCCTCCATCGCAGCATCCCCCAGGCTCTGTGCTCCTTCCTCAGCCTCCCCCGAGCATGGCCAAGGAAAAGCCTGACCTTCCTCTCCTTGCTCTGCGGGGAGCCCCAAATCTCTTCTTAGAGGGAAGGATCCTTCCCTCTAAGCTGTGTCTGTCCATACCCATAGGCTCAAGTTTTGTGTTTCCTCTCCCCAGGTTTGTATGGAAGAGGGGAGGGAATGCAGTGGCACACTGTTTCTGGCTCTCTGCGTGGTATCAAATCCATCTAAGTTGCCCCTGTGGTGCCAAGAAAGGAGGCAGGTGCTGATAAATTCCTATCTCGGTTTTTATTTATGTTGGCTTCACTCTGGGGAAGGAGTTCCGTCCTTCTTCCTGCAAGCACATGGTAGGAAATGTTTCTACAATCATGGTAGAAAAATCTGCTCATTCTGACTGCTCTTTTCCTTGTGTGGCTCTGTTGCACGTTTTGGGTCCCTCCTGGCAGCATGAAGCCCGCAGATCTCAGCTTTCCCTCATTTCTCTGGTAGGTGAGGGCTCTCTGGTGGTGTTCTGGACCACACAGACACTGTGGCACGGGGAGCGTGCCCGGGAAGATGACGCTGTTGCTGCACAGGCAGCTGGAGTATTGTTAGATTTCAATGCAATTCTGAATGGCCTCGGATCTGCCTCTCGTGTTTCCCATTCCCATATTCACTCGGCATCAGAGGCTTGCAAAGTGTGCTTGCAAAGCGTGCTGCCCGGCCTTTGGCCACACTCAGAGACCTGCACCCAGTGGAAAATGTCAGCCTTAAAGGCTGTGAAATATTCTGAATTGTCCCAGCGTTGCACTCCACATCTTAGGTATCTGCTACCCCCTCCTTGCACAGACAGTGCAGCAATTTCTGTATTTCTTTCTTTATTTTTAAGGGGGAGCTTTCAAGCCTGGTGTCTCTGTTTAGCTCTGCTTGGCCATAGTGTAAAATATGGTAGTTGGTGTAGAGTCCCAGCTGGCAAAGTCCTTGCTAAATCTTTTGCAGATCGGGAAGCTGACGAGCAGAGCAGCTAAATGCCTCACTCAAAGTTCACACAGCAGTTCAGTGACAGCTGGAAGAATCAGCCCCCGGATCCCCAGCTCCCCTTCGCCTGGCCAGCGGCAGGTATGAGATGTCAGGCAGGAGCAGTGATTTCCCTGGGGCCCCGTGCCTGGCGGACGCTGCCCATCATTTTCTCTGCAGCACGACACAGCCACGTTGCCACCACACACGTCGAGCTCCGTGGCAGCTCGAAAAGAACGCCACTCCTTCAGAGGAAATCTCCTGAGTGCGATGACCAAAGCTGGGGAGAAAAAACCGTGGGGGCTTTGCACATGTTGCTGCTCCTTCCCTACCTCCATGCTTAAATTAAAAACAAAAACAACCCTCCCCCCTAAAAAATCCACCCAACTGAAAGCATTTGTCTCCCATCGAAGCAGTCAAACATCGCAGAATGCAGAGGCACGAGGGTAGGCTTGCTCCTGTGAGCCTTTGCTGGCCAAGTTATGTGGCAGTGGGTGCTGGGGAGGCCACATGTGCAAGGAGAAATGGGTCGAAAGGGGACAGAGCTGCTGCTATATAAGGCTTTTTTTTCCCACTCCTTGCCAACGTAATCAAAATAACTCACTTACACCTAATAAAATAAAATGCAGAATCCAAAAGCCTTCCTTCCCTCCAGCGGTTTGTCTGGATCCCATTCCTTGAAGCTGAGCTGAGAAAGCCACAGCGGGTTTTTATTAGTATTATTTTCTGTTAATTTTTCTAGAATGAAAAATACTAAGCGAGGCAGAAGGTGCAGCATATTTCTGGCACAGATGGAAGGCAAGTGCTCCTAAAGCTGATGGCATGATGGGGACCAAACTTCACGGTAAGTTAATGTCTGTTGTGTTTTTTTTCCACCTTTTTTTTTCTCTCTCCCTCTTGGTTTAATTTAGTCCTTGCTTACCCACAGATAGGTGGGGTTTATCACCTCCTTGTCTGCTCGAAGCATATGTGTGTGTGCTTTTTCAATTAGATCTGATATGCCCTTCCCTTCTGTCCGTTTCCATTTAGGATTGCTTTCCATCACAGCTGCGGTTCTCCAAACTACCGGAGAATGAGTGTGGGAAGTACCAGCAGCCCTTTACAACGTGCCAGGAATGACCAGAGATGACAGTTGCAAAGGTGAAAGAGAAAGGTACTAAAACATAAAAGCAAGAAATTCCACACGGGTAGTGGCAGTCTGACAAATTAATTAACTCTTCTGCATATGTAAATCATAACGGTGAAGGGGACTGCTCCTGTGGTGAACTCAAATGCAAAACTAACGGCCTAGTGGGTTGGAGATACAAAGCTGGGTGACCTTGGAGGCTCTGAGTAAAGCTGATTGTGAAACGATCAACTGAAAGTGCAAGTCTGTCAAAAAATTTCTGAAAGATTTTTTAGAAACATGTTGATTTTGGTAAAAAATTTTCAGGGGAAAGGCACCAAAAAAAATAGCCATAGACTTCACCATCTCAGACCTCTCCGTTGACCCGGATGCGTCATCTTGAGTCAGGGCGTTGCAGGGGCAGATGCAACGCAGCTGTGACCACATCTGGGAGCCAGGGAGCACCCCCACCCACCCTCGTTGGGCACATTGACCCCTCCAGCCTAACTCACGGGGTGGGCGAGGGACGGCGTCACCAGGCTGCAGCTGGGACTTGAGCGTGGCCACCCTGCTCCACGAGCCCCCCAGGCAAGAGGCAGCGCCCCAAGGCCAATTGCCAGAGCCTGCACGTTGCCAGCGTGGTGGAACATCTGGGCTGAAGGAGGCACCAAACCTCCTTCAGCTCTTCCAGTAATCTTCATCGTCGTTCCCACAGTGGGAGAAAGCGAGGCCCAGAAGCATGAACGTGACTCAGCGCGTCGATGGTGGTGACCAAGCCCGTAGACGCTCATCTCAGTGCTTGTTCTTTAGCTACAAGACTGCCTAGTGTAGAAGAGGGATTTATATTCATGTTCAATGTTTTCCTTTTGCTGTCATGCATATTTAATATGCATCTAATAAATGACTGACTTCCACAGCTTGTGCCGCTGCAGCTATGAAAATATACAATAACCCGGTGCCTCTTATCTTTGTTTCAGTTTCAGTTAATGACCAGGATGAAGCCCGTCCTTCAAACACAGGTAAGTGGTCTCTGCTGAAGTCACTGGGATCTCGGCACATGCTCATGAAGGTGGAGGTTGCCCATCTTTATTACTCGCTAAATTATGTCTTAGAATCTACTGCGTTATTTCTGCTTGCATCAGGACTTACAGGTTGCTGCATATTTAAAAATAAAATATAAAAACAACTTAAATCTACCAGACAATGGTGACTAGTCACGAATAAAAAAGAAAAAAAAATGCTTTACAGTGATATGAAGGTAAAGAAATGAGTTCCATATGGCTGCGTGTGTTTAAGAGCACAGATTTAGTAGGGAGGCAATGGGGGCTGGGACCCTTTAATTTCTGCTACGCTCTGCGTCACAGTGATGAGGGAAAGTTATTGCTGGCACCAACGCGTTGCACCTAGCCCTGCTATGAGATATCCACTCTCCAGTGTCCTGCCTGTCCCATCACATACCTGCTCTGCATTTCTCAGCCTGAGTAAATCATTTTTCACTCAGCTACCAAAGATTTTTATGCTTGTGGTTTCCCAGAGTCGAATCCTTGGTGTTGGTCAGAAGATGTCACATATGTGCATGTCATTTACCTTGTAAACCACAACTTTTTAAAGAAGCAGATGCAAAGTATGTAGGAGAACTAAGAGCGCTGACCCAATCACAACAGCAATCTCTTTTTAGATCGTTACAGTATGTAACATCTCTGAGTGAAATGGAGTTAATCATCCAAACCTGTAATTTTCAAGTAATCTCCAATTCTGGATTGTTGTTATGTCATTACCAGCAGTAGCCAGCATTTGAAAAGGAGGCAGCAGAGAGTTTCTGTTAAAATGAAATCAAAAATATTTTTTATCAGTGGCATGTTTAAAAGCTGAAGCATCTGAATGCTTTTTTGCAATCTGTATCAGAGTCATACCTGGTGAATCTCTGCCTAAATCAGTGGCAGCAGAGGGAGCGTGTAACAAAGAAGAGAAAAAATCACCTCGTGTAAGATTATGGAAATGCCATGCAAGAGGCATAACACGGTAATTTGCAGGTTGGGATGAAAAAACCATTAATGCTCAATTTCTGCATATTGAGTTATTATGTGCAAGTTATTAACAGTGTAATTGTTCAGCTCAGATGCTGGTGGCAAGAGATTTCAGATGATAAATATGTCTCCAGCATAACTCAATTCTTTTCACTAGAGTTTGACTAAAGGACAAATTAGGTCCCTGATGTCCGGGAATGAATTTGGTGGAAGCAGCCTGTATCAAAGGGCCTGGGGATTTGAGATTGTAGGGTACAAGATGAACATAAATATTTCATGGTGGAGAATAGTCTTGACCCCTCACAGAAAACCTTCTGGTACAGGATTCAAATATGCAGCATCGCTGATTCTTTTTGCATGCACCATCCTCATGTAACATTGAAACTACCTGCTCTGTTTTCAGTTTTGAAAATAAGGAGTAATTGTCACTTCAGATTTGACCTGCTGGAGCAGACACAGTTCCATTAAGACACAATTCTTCAACCATTATCAACGTTCGGTACAAAAACCGTCCCCTTCCTCATTATTTCACAGCTAGATTGTTAAACATCTTAAGCCATTTTGGAGGAATAATAAAAACAAAAAGATATCAAGAAATCAACTTTATCTCCCGAAAAAACAGGGAGGAATGAATTTCCCTAGTGCCTTCCACCATCATCTTGCTCTTATCATGAAGGAGGGACTGTGCTGGCTTGCTGAAAAGAAAAATGGGAGGGAGGAGAACACAGCCACTGGGGAGGCTGGAGCTCCCTAAATGTAATTTCCATATCTCATTATTTGCAGGCTGTGTCCCGATCGGGCCGAGTACCCTTTGGAGAAGTTTTGCTCCAGATGCATCAGCTCAGGGCGGCTGCTGCTACCGAGGAGTCCCGAGATGCTCCGGCCTTCTCCATGTACTACAGGGGACTCACGGTGCATTCCGGGAGCCAAACGCGTGACTCAGATCTCTGTTTCTCCAGCGGCTCGAACTGCACGCTGCTGGGAGCTCTGCACAACCAAAACTGTGCCGGACCCAGCAAAACCTCTCCTGGTCAGTGGCGGAGGAAGCACAAGCACACGTAGCTCTGCACGGCTACCCCACAGGTACGGCTCTCCAGCGCCTGGCCCATCACCCTGGTGGCTTTCTGGGCTGCTCTGGGTACACCTGAGGAGCGTTGCTGTCTGCTCAGGGTTGCCACCAGGGCAACCAGGTAACAGGGACCCTGCCAAAAGGCTCTCAATCCCCTTAGGAAAAAAAAACAAGCTGACTTCCCCAGCTCAGCCTCCTCTGCCTCCTGTTTGAACCCCCCAAGCTCCAGCCCTGCACGAGGGACAGCAGAGCCACCGGAAGGTCTCCCAGCCCCCCGGGGGGGTTGCGGCGGAGCCTCCCCACCACCCTTGGGGCTCTGGCCGCCGCCGGCCACCCGCCACCCAGCCGCTTCCAGGAAGCCAGCCCCGTCGCGCCGTCTGGGGCCGCCGGCGGCTCCGCGGCCGTGCCCTTGGCTGCCGGCCACGGTGGGAGGCCCCCACGGTTCTCCCGGCTTTGGGCGGCCGCCCGCGGGGGTCCCCAACGCCTCCCCTGCACACCCAGCAGCCGGGGGGAGAGCGAAGAGAGGGGCTGGGGTGAAAGCTTGAATTCCACCCCCGCCAGCCCCAGCTTTGAGCCCAGCAGGAGGAAAGAGGGGAGGCAGAGGGCTTGCTCTGCTCCGGCAGCGCTTCTCTAATGCGGTTACATGGGCTTGAAATGAGTGTTTACCGCTGGAAAACGCTGCTGCTGGTACCTCTGCTCCTCCAGAGCGCCAGATCTGTGTGTTTGAAATGGCCAGGCCACTGGAGGAGCAAAGACTCAAAAAAAAAAATCAAATTTCTAAGAGCAAATCCTTTTATTGAGCATGTGTGTGGCTTTCTGTGCTGCTGGGAACCTACAGTTCCCATATAAAACTCGGCTCCTAATTCTTCCCTGCCTTTTCCCTTCCCCAGGCTCTGTCCATTGTTCTTGCTTGGCTCCATCGCTGAGTCCGTGGCAAACTTTTGTCCATATGTCTCCCCAGGAGCCATCCGAGGTGTAGGTCAGGCTGTTATTATCCCTGCTTGGGAGAAAGGAAACTGAAACACGCCTCAGGTCACCCGAGGAAATCTGTGCTGGATTAGCACCTGAATCATTTGTTCTGGTCACAGAAATGCTAATTTCATTAGCATTTCAACATCTGAGCAGAGCCCTGAGTGATATGGCCGCGAAGATGCAGGTATTTCCAGCCCCAGTCCTACCCCACTAAGCTCAGCGGTGAATTTCTTTGGCAGTGGATTGAAATCTAACCAAATATTTTCTTTGGGCTCAGTTCTCCTTTCATTGGCATTGTTTTATGCAGAACTGATGTAAGCAAAAGAAGAAATAATTATTTTTTTGTGTAATTCTTGTAGAGCATATATTTTTTGTTGTGGAATTATTCAGCAAAGATGGTGATTGCTGGTAACAGACTGAGATATCTCAAATGAATGTCATAAACTTTTTTTTTTTGGTGCAATCCTTTATTTCTGCATTCTTTACAGCAGGACTGGGAGATAATGGGGTTGGAATGTCCTTCTTGAATGTTCATTTTATTTTTTTGTCAAGGAGGATAAAACTCCAGCTAATCCTGCCATAAATTTAGGTATTCCTAATGCTTCGGTATTCCCAATTTTCTTCAGGCATTAGGTATGTAATCAGTCCTGTGCCAAAAAGGAAAATAAAAGAAAAATTTGGGATTGCAAGCAGCTTTTTTAAAAAAAATAATAATAATAAGAAGAAGAATAAAAAAGAACAAGCTGCCCAGTATTGCTCAAGTTCAGATGGTTTTAATAACTTTCCAGTGTAACCTGTCTGGTTCTGCAGTCCCTCCACAGGAAAATTGAGATTTGGGAGCATGCAGAATCTGTCTTGTGGCAATTCACATGGCTCAGTACTCTTAGGACAGCAGTACGGTGGTGCTTTGCCCTCTTACAGTAGTGTCCCATTCAAGGTTTACATCTCTGCTCCTCACAAACCCAGCAGAACCGAGCTACACCCCCTGCTAACGCATGGGGTAAGAAAGGGGGCTAACGGTGATATCTGGAGTGTGACACGAGGCTGAGTGTGTTGGGGTCCAAACAGAAAGGAGGAACAGGACCAGAGGGGCCCTGATCAGCAGTGCAGCCCCACAGGCAGGGAAAACACATAGGAGGTGTCTCCGCTGCTATTTCCGAGCAGAAGCTGCATTCCTATCAACCAGCACAGTGGCATTTCCCCATGGTCTGCTCCACGGCTGCCCCGCCACCCTCCTGATGCCTTATCGATGACTGGTGCCATACGATCCCTTGCAAATAACAGTTCTGCCTCCTTCCCCCTTCTTCCTAGCTTCTGTTGACTTTCTTTCCTTTGCTGCTTAGCCCATGGCTTATATTACAGATATATTTAAAGTGGGTTCTTTTTAAACTCTTCCAAGTTGTGTTTATTTCTTTAGGAGATAGCAGTTTAATGTATGTACATGTGAAGAGGGGCTGTGCTCCTCCACCAGTATTTTTTTATTTTGGTGGGGTTCTCTGTTACCCTTTCTGTAGCTTGAAAGGGCTTTGATGGGAGGGGGGTATTTTTGCTTTAATTATCATTAAAGAAAGAAGATAGAAGGAAACCAATCTCAGCCTATGAAACTTTTCCCAGCACAACTTGTCGATTCTGATGGCTAAATGGCCACTCCACTTAATGAGGGGCTGAGAATTGTCCAAGTGAGCAGTTATTTTCAGGACATCTACCCTTCCTCAGGTAGCTGGGAGCCAGCGCAGGGTAAGAAGAGCATCCACGGGGCTTCCCTCAAAGCCTGTTTGCAGGCAGCCTGGGGGAGCACCTCTGTGTACTGCAGGCACAAGACCTTGGGCTGGCCGTCCCACCAAGGGGTGCTTTCTCTGTGAGCCATGCAGCTGGTGATGTGGCGTGCCTGTGCTGGCTGCTGGGGGGCTTTACGAGCAGCCCAGCTGCTGTGAGGAGGCCACAGCCACGCAGCTCCCAACTTGGGTTTGTATAAGCACCAAAACAGACAATGGGGAAAAAATTGGAAAAAAGCAAGCTGGCTGTTTTCGATTAGGAGCAGCCCTACTTCAGTCTGCGCCACAGGCACTCGTGTTTGCTTAGCAGTACAAAGGATTATTCATGTGAAAGTGGATTCCTGGACCAGGATAAGATAGCAGGACCTTTTACTTGCTCCCATGGGTCCATTTCTGGTGGGCTCCACCAGCATCTCGCTGGCATTTTGTGGGAGGTGAAGCCTGTGGAAACGCACAGGGGTCAGTGAAATGGTCCCTTTGTCACTAGGCAGTCCTGGATCGGGCCCGCTGTGTGGGTTTCCCTGTTGTCTCCAGCCTGTGGGGGGTTGCTCCATTTGTACTTGGGTGTTCCTAAACTAAGGTTTTGGGGCTGTCTGTAAATGCATCAAACAAAATGACCGGCCTGACTGGCCTCAGGGCTGTGGTTTTATGCCCTGATCGTATGGTTGACCCCTGCTTTTCACACCTAGCAGCAAAGCATCTCTTCTTGGCTTAGCAAATGGTCCTTATCTGGTGTAAAAAACGTTATCAGCAGGTTGTATCGCGGGCCTGTGAAGTCAGGGGTTCTTGACTGTGCTCCCAGCTTCTCCACCAGCTCCCCATGGGCCTCAGTTTGTGCACCTGCAGAGTGAGGATATCCATCCCCACCTGCCTTGCAGGAAGGAATATCTGATTGAGAGGTGCCTGCGCTACGAGATGCTCGGATGAAGGATGTAGCTGGGAACAGTTCTCACTGCTCTTATTAGGCCCTGCTAACAGAAGGGAGAAGCAGTTCTGTGCTGCCTTGCTTTAAATAGGGCACAGTGTGAGGCACAGATACAAATGAAAACCGTTCAGCTTGTTTCTTTTCTCTTCTCCCCCTGCAGAGAACCTGGCCCTGATTCTGCTGTCATGCTGGTGCAGAAGAGCAATTCAACTGGTGTCAGAGGATTTCCATTGACATAAATCTAGTGTAAGCAGGAGGATCGTGGGGCTCTATATTGGACATTTTCCACTTTCCAGGGTGAACGTGTGGACTTTCCCTCAAGCAGACCAACCTCAGTAGGCATATTTATTCCTCTTTGTCCTTGCCCTTAATTTTTCTTCTATTTGCTTGCGTTACTTAACTCCATAAAATGCATCTTCCATAAATACAAGTGGAGGTGGGCATTAAAACAAGACATAGCTAAATGTTTTAGAGAGACTTCTCCACTCTCCCCTGACACTCCCTTCCAAAGTGGCAAGCATGTGTGGGTTTTGCTATCCTTAGGCAGCTTTGCTGGCATTTCTCATGATTATTGATAATGATTATTGATAATATTTTATTGAAGAATTTTATGCCTTGGCATTTTGAAGTGCTGCAAACTTCCTGCAGAACAACCAGGCCCCTATACTGAGGAACTTTTGAGGTAGCAAAAGGTGTGTGTGATAAAGACTGCTTGTATATTGAATCAGATTGAGATGTAAGTAGGTAAGGTCATGCTTGCTGTTCTGCTTTCATGCAACTCTCCGGAAACTCCCCTGGTAATAAATAATAATGATTACCTGATTATCTGTAAGGCATAATAACAGCTTTCATCCAAGATCTGAAAAACTCTTTGAAAGGTGGATTTTGCAAATGCAGAACTGCAGTGCAGGGGATGAACAGCTTGATTTTTATCAGCCAGCATTGAACTTGCCACAGGGGTACGCACGGGAGCACGTAGCAAAAAGGGATTGAATTGGTGCTTCTTGCAGCTCTGTCCAGTGCCTCGTTTTTGTGGCTGGTTGTGCCACACTGTTCACACAGTCTCTTCACACTTCCCACAGTGTGCTTTCTTTTTTTTGCCTTTTTTTAATGTGACCCAGAGCCCTGGCTATGGTCTTTCAGGCATATCTTTGAGACAGGTACTCCTAGAAACTTAGATCCAGTTGTAGAGATTCACAGAATCCTCTAGGTTGGAAGAGACCTCCAAGATCACCTAGTCCAGCCTCTGAGATTGGTTGCTTCTGAGCAAGAGGGTTGTGTTCCCAGCTCCTAGAGAGCAGCCTTGCAAGGTTTTAGGTCTGAACACCTGAAAACTACAGGATTGGAAGGGTTCTGAGCATGCTGGAAATCCAATGCTCACGCCGAGGCATGATGCATGCAGGCAGGCAATGACATCTAGAGTATCTTGAAACATTTGGGAGATTACAAGAAAATCTTTACTGCTGGCCCTGTTCTAACCCATTCTGGTTTTTAGAAAGATGTGGAAACAACTTATCTAATATAAATGTATTTGTTTTAGGTTTTGCCTCCCCCTCACAATTTCTGCCAAAAGCTCTGGATTGCTGTGGTCAATGGCATCTCTGAAGGACACACGGGCTGACAGACAGTAAGTTTGCCACAGCAAATATTGCAGTCTTTTCCAACAAAGGCAAAACAAATCACATGTTGTCAGTGGTATTGCAGGTCAAGCATGAAGTTGTGCCATCTCCCACAGTCTGAGCAGAAAAAGAAATCTAAGCAGTGAAGGGAGACAGAAAAGTTGGCTGACTGTTTAATTTACTTATCTTTTTATGTCTTTTTCTGTACTTTTTGATTTCTTAACACACGGAGTTCCCCAATTTTCTATTATTATAATGAGGAGTTTCATTCATTGCCCAGCACCAAAGCTCTCCTCATGGCGGTACAGATCAAACACTGTTTTTTCCTGCCCTTCTTATCAGTTTATCACAGATAGCTCAGCTCAATGTAGGTTTGAAACCTTTACCTTGTGCCCAATGACTTCACCCTGTCTGGGAGAAGGGAAGGAGCAGGGAGCACCCTAATCTGTCTTCCTTTTGGCCTAAAAGGTGGCAGAGGAGGGGCAGTGTAAAGGGGAAAGCTGGTATCAGCCCAGAACCTTTTTTCCTTGCTTCATCTCTGCCTTCCAGTATCTCCTCTCCCTTCCCTTCTGCTCTCTGCCCTGTGCTGCAGCATTGCTGGTGACCTTGCTGTCTTCTCCCCTGCCACTCCTCTCCATCACTCAAGGTGCTTGAGAGATCGGGGGCCCCATACAACTGCGGGAGAAGCCTGTGGAGTCATTCCTCCTCCTTCCAGCTGTGAATATGGCCCAAGGGGCTTCTAATCACTTTCTTTCATTCTGCACACAATGAGTAGTGTAGCAAAAGCTCTCAACTGGGGAAAGAAAGGGAGAGAATTGCCAGAGGAAGAAAAGGATGGGAGGAGAGAGAGACGTTTCTCTCTTTATCCATAAAGCTGGAGACTTCCCTGCTCAGGAAATGAAGGTCCTCTGACCCCTGGAGTCTTTTTCCTCCAGTTCAGACAATGTGCAGATGTTCTGCCAGGCCTTGCTGCACCCGTTTGATACCTATAAAGCTTTTACATTCAGTTCTATCGAGTTGGCTCTATCCCAAAGACATTAAATTCACATAAGAAATAAAAGCATTTTGCAGCACTGGAGCTATTCGTACCTTGGGAAGTCCTCGAGCTTCATGGGTGGGAGTCAGAGAGAGGACCTTCCCAGCAAGGTGTCCTTCAGTATTTCAGGACACCATTTTCTATAGGAAAGCCATTTGTCACCAAAATATCTGGGGCAGGAAAAGAGATAATGATGGTACAGGGAGGGTTGGCTTTGCTCTATCAGTGAAGAGCTGAGGACAGAAGAACATCCAGTGTGTGCATCTGGCAACAACGGGGTAAGAAAAAGGCAAATATTTTGCTGGCCTTATCTGGTGGAATTACCAGGACTAGCCATGGAGAAGGGTGGGAAGCAACTGGAGAATGAATAATGTGTACCTGGAAGCCCACCTCTCCATTTTACAAGGGAGCAGCCCCTCCTAGAAGGGCTGTGCAAGTGTTCCCAACTTCTTGAGCTATGCGGAGAGCCTTCATTTGACACCTTTCTGGGGGTGAAATCTCACAGTTGTGTTTCTAGCACCTGTCAGAGCCCGTAAGAGCTGTATGTCTTAGATGGAAAGTTTTCAAAGTGCAACAGGCCCAGAAACGCCTCCCTCCATGCATGCATAAGACACTGTGATTAAAAATGCACCCGCAGAGAGGAAAATAAAAACAACAGCCCAGAAACTCCTTGAAGAAAGATATTTATGTCCTAAGTTGTAAAACTAGCCAAGCTCCCCAAAGAAACAGCAGTAACAGAATTTAGCTGTTGGAACCCAGAGACGCATTGTTCTGATTTAATAATTAATGTGGAGTTAATTGAGGCTTTTACTGAACTGAAACAGGATAAAAGAAACCTGCCAGTCTGGACGCCATGCTTCTCTGAGAACAAGTTCATTCTGTTCCCCTGTGACCCCCTCCCCAGTCCCTGTGCCACACGCCACCCCCCTTTCCTTTCCCCCAAAGGGATGTGGAGCGTGACCACTTCTGTTCAGCACACAAAACGAGGCAGGGAAGCAGGGAAGGTGGCCACCGAGGCGGCTGGGTGTGGGGAAGGGGGAGCTGAGAGCAAGCCCGGTCTGGGGGTGAACGGAGCTTTCCTCCTTCCCTCTCCTGGGCCATTGTTTGACAGCAATTTTCCACATATGCACTGACTTGGGAATTACTGAGCCATGCAGCAGTCACAAAGGATGGCAGCAAAGACAGAGAGAGAGAGACAGGGAGAAGCTGGCTCCGTGTTATCTTCAAGAAAGTAAATAATGACACGGGTTTATGGCTTAAAATGTAGTGCTTTAGAAATTAAGGGTTGCACAGAATGGATCCTGGGCAAAGTGGCTTTTAACCCCTCGGAGCCTGTGCAATGGGAATAAATACTTCTCAGGCTTGCTGGGAAAAATGGCCAAATTTTGGTGGCGGGGCTGTTGGTTACTAGAGAATGGAAGGATGGGAGAGCCCGTCAGAGTAGGGCATGGCTGCAGCACCAGATCTAGGTCCTCTGGAAGAGAGTTTGGAGTGGCCTTCATCTTGCAGAAGAAATCATTATACCAATTTCAAGGCCCTTTGGATGAGAGTTTATCAGAATTTATCAATAATCATGAAGGAAAAGCTGTTGGTTTTTTTTTTAGATTTTTTTTTTTAATTTTCTTTTTTTGATCACAACAGTATTGGGGGAACAGAAGGTACTAAGATGGATGAGTCTTGGAGCAGATCTACCCTGAATTCTGGCCCCTGCAGTCTCCTGCCTTGGGCCTATGTTTTTTTTGGAAAAATGCAACCCTTGCATCAGCCCACTGCCGTACTGTGGTGTGCTAGTGCAGAGATGAGGGAATTTTCCTCGTATGGGAAGGGTAGAAGAGTAGAAGAGTTTCTGGGAAGGAATAACTCCTCGATCTCAATTCTCCTTTCCTTCCTTTCACCCCCTCCTGTCAGGACAAGCCCTGCTACTTTCATTCATCCCATCAGCTCCTACCTAGAGACTGGAGCAAGAGCAACAACTTTTCAAAGTCCATGAGATTGTGACTGTTTGCAGTTTGCAGGGGGGAAGGATCTCTGTACATCTGCCCATGTAGTAACTGCTCTTTAGCAACTACCTGCAAAGAGGACCTTTTTATTTAGGTTTTCCTTTTATTCTTCTAGGTTCACTGAACACAGGGAGAGGAAAACCCCAGCTGGGAGCACCAAAAACGAGCAAAGCAAAGCTGCTCTATATTGCTGACAGTCACTGGGATCATCAGCAGAAGCGAGGTACGCAACACTTCTTTCTCATTTGGGGTTCAGACTCTCTCTTTGGAAGCAGGAGTGCTAGGACATTGGGGTTTCTTTCCTCCAAATAAATGGGGTGACAGAAGAGATTACTAGGAAGTGCTTTTTCACCTGAACGTGAGCAAACCCCATTGGGTGAACTTTGCAGCACAGAGCACATCTCTGAGGGTGGGAGAGGGGATGCTGGGCATTAGGAGAATAAGGAGAAAGAGAGAAAGCTCTGGGGAAGGTAATCACACACTTCTCGAGTCACGGGAACATGATATATATGTGCCTGTTGTGAGGTAGTGCTTTAGGTGCATCTCTGTTTATTAAAAAGGGATTATTTTTTTTCCATCTGACTTTATTGATACACAGTGGTTCAAAGAAAATTAAGAAAAAAAAAGAATTGCAGCTGTGGAATATTATTATTTATGCACAACCCCTTAGTAGTCAGAAGTTCCTCTGGAGATCTATTGATTCTGCGTGTGGGTGAGTTTTTGAACTGCAGTTGGTGCTGCTCTAGCTTTGTTGCCACTTAAGATAATAAGCTGGTCTAATTCTGTGCACGGCATCATCCTGGCTTCCACAAGAATGGAGTTACGCCAATATTGGTAGTTTTGGAAAATCACTTCGCAAGTGTGTGCCAAATCCCCGGAGGGTTTGCCGTTCAGAAACACAGAAATTAGAAGAAAAGAATGGCTCCATTGATCTGGTTCCTAAACTGTTCATTGTATGACCTTAGGCAACTCATTTAATTTCTGAGTGCCACAGTTTATCTATCAATAAAACAGGGATAATATCTATTTATTTCTTACAATAGGTTGGGAAATCTAATAAGAAGAATGTTGGCAATAAGCTTTTGATCCTGTAAAAGTAAGAGAGGACAGCAAAGGACAGCATTATTTACAAATGCGTGTTGCATTTTTCATGTAGTTGACAATGTTATTGTGCTGTTTGGAATCAAGCTGATGCTAAATAATTATCTGAAACAGAATTCAACAGATTCTTGATCCTGGCATGTGGGAGGTTCCGATGTGTCTCTAAATTTAGAGTTTCTCTTTGATTTGCTTAGGCAGTTGAATTCATGTTGGGTATTCAGCCCCGGACAGGACACGTTGTTCGCTGGCTTGTGCAGCTTCCATGGATCACATCGAGCTGGTGTCCACCGTGCCGTCAGTCTTGCCTGGTTTAGGCACGATAGGTGCAGCCCTGGGGCACAGGTAGGCTGATCCAGGTGGCTTCTGGCTGTGTCCTCTGCCTTTCTGTGGTTATTCTGTGGTTTTGGCTGAGTCAGGGTAAGAGAAGGGCATTGACTGTGCTCTGCTTTTGTATGAAATCGGTCCATAAACAAAATAAATTGCAGGCCCAGCTGGAGCTGTGAAAGCAAGCAGCACTGAAAAATGAGCCTGGGATAGGGAGATTTATTGAAATGAGCCATGCACTCACACCACCATGTATGTACCTGTGTGAGTGCTTATCTGTATCTGTACGTGTGCCTGTTAGACAGGTAGAAATCTAATGGTCATACAAGTAACCATATAACGGCCTGGTGAAGAAACAAACGTAAATGACAACAGAGGTATTTCTTTACCTAATGAGAAAATTGAAGGAGAAGAAGAGGAGAGGAAAAAAAGAGAGTAAAACACACACCAACGTATTCTAGGAAGGGATTATTATCAGCTGGAGGTGCAAACAGGGGGCCAGGCCCTCCCAGGACTGTGGGCTGCCATTCGCCTGTACCACTGACCTGGGTGAGGGGAGCAGAGCCCAGATGAAGTCTCCTTCTCAAGGTCCTACAGACCTTGTGAAGAGCCCAGAGGGCACGTGTGCTTCGAAGAGAACCAGGCAGAATCACACCATACAGAGGAGAAGAATTTTATTCAGGCTTCGAAACACCCAAAAGGGGATTAATAACCGTAATTAAAAAAAGGAAAATAAATCTCCTGTCCATTAGACGGGAAAAATCCTTTGCCTCCCTGCAGGAGAGAGGAGACTGGGAGCTGAACAGAATGTAGGATGCAAGAGCAAACTGTAACCCAGTGAATTAGTCTTAACTATAGCGAAAACAGCGCTTGTGTAAATGAGGCCCCTAAGGGCCGATAACCAAGCAGTAAAATGTTACAGGAGGGAAGTAAGTCAGGGCTATAAACCTGGGAAGTCAGGACTGGGTAGCCAGGATCTGGAGCATAAAACAGGCGAGATTAAAGGATGACAGATGAGGGCTGGGAAGGATGCATGAATCCTTGCTGGCCTAAGGATTCTAATTCCTTTGAAGACAGCCTGGTTCCTCCGAGTGCTGCCAGGCACCAGAAAATGACGGAGATGCCCACTGAGAACTTGCAAGGAGAGTGGAAGAGTGAGCGATGGATGATAAATAAAATAAGGGAACATAATCAAATCAACATTGAGTGGATTTGATTTAGGAGGACACCAATGAATAGAGAAGGGGAAGAAGGCGGCAGGGTGGGAGTTACTGTTGGATGGGACTGTGGCTTGAGTGAGATATAGTGCAAGCCCTAAATTATCATCATCATTATTTTTTGGCTGGGCTGTGTTGTGACATCAATACCAATTTACACTCTGGGTGAATAGCACTTACTACCTTCTTGTCTTCATAAATTGTGCATTGCCCTTATTTATTTGCTTCCCTGTCCCCTTCCTCTCCTCCTGCATCGCCTCCCTCCTCCCTTACACCCTGACGGGGGTGGCGTATCCTTGCTATGTCCTTGAGGAGCTTGACATCTAACCCCAGTTCTGAGTCCCCAGCTCCACGCTCCCTCCTCCGGTGACAGGTACAGCAATGTTCCGTTTATATTCTTTGTTGTGGGCAGGATGGTGTGTGCAAAAGGAGGCGAGGCATTACCCTTGATAGACCCATTAGCAAGTGAATCCCTTTTCAGGCAGCTGCTATTTCCATGGTACCTGTGGTCCTCTTGTCCAGCTGTAAGTTGACACGTTGACTGTTCTGAGTCAAAGCCTTCTTCCTGCCATCACGTGCTACACGTTCAAAGGTCGTAATTTTTATACTTGCTTTCTGTCCAAATTCAGTGAGCCATCTCATGTTGTGAAGGCCCACAAAAGCACTGCTGTGGCATCACAAGACATCTTCAAAACTACCTTCAGGCATGTAAAAAGCAGGTCACATCATGGCAACCCCAGCGGTGCCTGGAAGCAGGTCGACTATTTTTTATCTGTCCGCAGGACGGAGCTGCTCCATCTCTCGCTTGTGTGGACTAAGTTCTAGTAAAAAAATCATTCTGCAAGCCACTTGCCTTCCCAGGGCATCCATTTGATGCCTATTGTAATGTTAAAAAGGCACAGAGTCTATTGTTTTTCTTTGAGAATAATATAGCAGCTGAGGGGAAAGAAAAACAACATCGTAACAGTGACCACATTATCTTAGGTAACTGCGAGATCTCTCTGCTGCTCAGAAGGAACATAGCTAGAGAGACAGAACCCATTCCATTTCATTTAAGAAAATACTTTTTTTTTTTTCTGCAAATTTGTGTTGGTATTTTCATCCTGCAGAAAATGAGGCAATGAGAAAAGTAGTGTAGGAGAAGCATTAAAGGACAATAAAATCAAGTATATGCCAAATACAAGACCAGTCTTGAACTGTACATCTTATGGAACCTCTGCAGAAGGATAGGGAAGTAATCTGAATATCGGCAAAGAGCTGGAGAGTTTGATTGTGGATCCTAAGAACAATCTATCCCAGGTGAATGAACAGGTCCCAGGTACAGTTCAGTTTTCACAGACTGGTTGTGCACCCAGCCTCCTGTCACTCACCATCTCCTTTCTTATCTTGTTTGATTGATTAGAAGATTTTCTTACTTGCTCTTTTGGTGTGAACAATCAAGGCCACCTGTCTTGAGGAGGGGAAGAAGATGTCATTCAGCTACTACATTTCCTTGGAGGAGGAGGACTTTCACTCAGCTGATTAAATTCTGGAATAAAGAGGGAGATGGGGCAGTCATCTTTTTGTTTCCTCTCTACTCCCATGTACTCCCGTTTTCTTTTTCTGTTGGTGTAGCAAAAAGAGGATGAAGCATCTGTATCAGATAGATGGCATGTAATTGACAAACCTTTTTTTTTTTGTCCCTCAACAAGTGCTAGGGACTAAAGGATTCCCAGGTTCAACCTCCATGCCCGGGTAGCTAGAAAGGAGCCTAGCAGAAGCTCTTTATAATGCTCTTTATAGCACTTTGCCTCTTTTTTTATATACTTTTTTTTTTTTTAAATACCTTTGAATACATACAGTTAAAAGGAACAAAAAGCATGCCCAGGATAGTGGGGTACTTTATCTTATGGACTGTCAGGTGAAGCTTTTGCTTACTGCTAATAATTGGTATAAAGGAGGATAAGACTGCAACTAGGGAAAAGGAAAACAATGTCTAGCTGGGTTGTGTTTCCAGCTCCTATTAGCCCTAAATCCAAAGAGTACGAGGGGCTGAGCTGCACATTGCTGGAGCGCGTGGGTCTATAAATGGTTAGCCATTCTTGCTCTAGGCTGAGATCTCGCTGCAGGATTTTTAGCTGATGTGACTTTTGATTTTTGACATTAATTCCCGCTATGCAGCTTCGTAGGAGAAAAGGTGTCTGTAACCATTAACAAGAATAATTATGGAAGGAGAAGAAATCTTGGATTGGAAAGATGATAAACTATCATCTGGTGTCAGTCGGCAGAGAGACTCTGGTTTTTGCTGATAGTTTGTGCTAAACCCCTGCATTTTACACTGAAACAGCTGAGTTGTGCACATGCTCTACTGTTCTGCCCTTGTGACTGGGTCAGTGATTGAGTGAATTAGACAAAGTCCATTTGGAAACTGAGTGTGTGCCAACTGCCTTTTTCAGTTCCATTTGAAATTCTGATATAAACTAAAATAATTCTGGCTCAAAACCGGCAAGCTTTTCCAGTGGCTTAAAGTCACGCCTTAAATTGATCTGATACCCATCAACGGATGGGGTAACTGGTGGTCTCCTCATGAACTGGTTTGCCTG